AAAAACAACACTGAATCCACCTGCAGCCACCTGCATTAGAGTGAAGCCTGAGCAGTCAAATGAACATTAACTGGTCCAAACTCTCAGGAACATGTGAAAATCTTTGTAAATCATGCTGTCAGGCAGCTGGTGCAAGTAAATAATGTAAGACACAAATAAAAGCAAACAAAGACTGAAACGTGTGCAGAAACACCAAAACACCACAGGGTTATTATCACACTGCAGACAATGAACGAATTACAGCCTCGTCATTACACACCCAGAAAAGCATCACACACTATACTGTGCACAGTGCACGGCGTTGCCAACTTTCTACAGTCAGTTTAATTTTATATAATTAACAGCTGACTGTTAGCTTCATGGATTGGGTTTCCATGGCTGAGCAGCTGCAGCCAAGCCTTACATCACCAAACCCAATGCAAAGCATCAGGTGCATGGGTGTAAAGCATGCCGCCATGGGACTCTAGACCGGTGGTTACATGTTTTCTAGATTTACACCTCTCCATCTGGCGTACCGATGGACGAGTCTGGATTTGGCAGTGGCCATTAGAACGGTACCTGAGTGCCGAGTGTAACGGTTGGTGGAAGGGGTATTATGAGTTGTGCTCGCCCCCTTAGTTCCAGTCAAAGGATCTCCTAATGCTTCAGCATATCAAGACGTTTTGGACAATTTCAACCTCCCAACTGTGGGATCAGTTTGGGGACGGTCCCTTACTGTTCCAGCACGACTGCACAAAGAAAGGTCTGTAAAGACATGGATGAGCGAGTCGGGTGCAGAAGAACTTGACTGGCCTGCACAGAGTCCTGACCTCAACCCAAGAGATGGGATGAGCGGAGACTGTGTTCAACATCCGTGTCTGACCTCATCAATGTGCGTTCCCAGAAGAGTCAAAGCCATTATAGCTACAAAGGGAGCCCTATGGATCAAGAATGGGACGTCACTCAAGTTCATATGCGTGAGAAAGCAGATGAGCAAATACTTTTGGAAATCTGGACTCCGCTGCAGGTCCCAAAGTCAAACGATCACTGCAGCATCACTGAGAGTTAAAAACTGTCTAAAGTCTTTCATCTTTAATAAAATGATCAGCGTTCTGCTCTACCAGGTGTAACAATTGAGTTTAACATCCAGGCATCCATGAAAACAGAATTTATGACATTTAACAGAGTTAGAAGTTAGCAGGAAGTTAGCTCGCTAGCTTCTATCTAAATACAATATAGCATGTCCTGACTGCGGGGTTTTGGAAACAAATTCAAACGTACAGCTCTGCTGTCACTTCCAGCATAAATGAAGACAGAAAACTAAACAGCAGTGACGTTTGTAGGGTTACTGAAGTTTGGCTAGCTGCTATATAATGATGTGCTACGTGACCGCTAGCGACACAGCTATGTTAGCATAATATAAACAAGCTAACTTTTTTTTTCCACTCGATAAAAGTTAACGTGAGTGTTCTCGGTGGTCAGGAACAAATGTAATCGCATGGCAGGATGCTGTAAACGGACCAAACTTCAGTCAGGAGAACAACTGAGAACACCCATCCACAATCTGTTAAATTTAACTAATCCTGTTTTCATGGATGCCTGGATGCTAAACTTAATTGTTACAATTGTTAACCCTAACCCTAAGCAGCAACGCTGATCATTTTATTAAAGATGAAAGAATTTAGACAGTTTTTACTCTCAGTGATGCTGCAGTGTTCGTTTGACTTTGGGACCTGAAACTGACGGAGTTTAGGACCCAGATTACTCTGTGAGGCTCCTGACTACAATAGCCGTAATGCTCCAACATCCATCAGGCGCTGCGGCTTCGTAGCTTAGCAAAGTCGTACTGAAACATTTGACAGATTTTTGAGTGCCCTGTACCTCATAAAATCGGTTCGAGGTCAGTAAACACAACCAGATTTCATACATAAGGCGCACTGTCAATTTTTGAGAAAATTAAAGGATTTTAAGTGCGCCTTATAGTGCGGAGAATACGGTAAGTGGAAATTCAGTTCCAAGAAATATTCTGCAAGCCAACACACTGAAAGATGAGATGTGATGCACTAAGCATGGTTTGGGGATAAGGCACATTCATTAGAGGTAGTTATGGTGCATGTGATGAAAAAGCTACACTACCACTTCCTGTTACTGTCACTGCGTGCTCCAGATTTCGCCGCTCCAGATGCTGAGGAGCGATGTTCCCAAAAAAAATAACTCACCGTAACCGCCGGCCTGGATGGGGGTTTTAGGTGAGGCGCAGGCATACAAACTGAAGTCCTCTGTCTGAAAACCAGCTCGGTTTAACGAAGGCTCCGAGGCGCTGCGGTGGATTTTGGGTAACGAGCGAGCCAGCAGCTCAATGGATGCCAAAATCTGAAGAAATACACAACACAGCCACAGGGGTCGTTAGTCAGGATGGTATGATCAGCATTCCCTCACAACACAAGAAACGAGCGACTACATCAGCTCAGCTGCTTTCTGTGGTTGCAGCTGCTTGCTGAGGCCACCGGGTGGCAACGCAACAACTGTCAGAAAGAAGTAAAGAGATCCAAAATGCTGCAAATTAGGGAGTAAGGGCGAACGCTCACTCTGCACCAAACTCAGAGCTTCCACCCTGAAACGATCCATGTGTTTGCTGCCACTAGCTGAAGGGCTTTGGAGGTGAACACCAGGACAGCAAGAGTCGGATTTGATGGAGAGAAACGTCACTAAACTGTTGTTAAATAACAAATATTAAGACCATTAGAGTTTAAAGAGACGCTGGGATGTGAGTTGTTAATCACTTCTCTAACAGAGGAGCTTTTCCCCCACTGGTTACATGGACTCAGGAGTCACGTCATTCCTTATAGAGCTCCTTCTGCTATTGCACAGCTCCAGTATGGGCAACTTCCCCGGCCTCGAACCCTGGCACAGTGCTGCAGGTGTTCAAAGTCCAGCCTTTCTCTACAGGATGCTCTAGATATGTTTAGATCAGAGCCCTGAATAAAACTTAAAACGTGACGTTTGTCAGTGAGACTAGAAAAACTGTATGAATATGAATGCACACACGTCACGTGGCCAGCTCGAACCAGGCTGATGTGCCCCTGATTGTATGATACAGAACACCACAGTGTGCTGAACATGTCGGTGCTCCCCATGTGTGGAAACAATGGGGATTCGGAGCTCTGTGCAGGTTTGTGACACGCCCACAGAGCTGTGGCTCTGCACTGCACTGTTAGAGGTGATTTTCATCACTGCAAACTGGGAAAGTCTGTGCCGTCTGACCAGTAATAACACAACTCCTGAAATGTTTGGACCTTTTTTTACGAATCTGTTTAAGGAGGCTTACCAATCCCTCTGTCGAGCTCTATGCACTAAGTCTGATCGTTGTGTTGTGTATTTGCTAAACAGGCTCTATCAGTGCTGAGATATTTGAGCAGGACGATGCTGAAGTGCATCTATTCCAGCAGCATGCAGTCCACACACGG